CACTGTTCTTATCTTACTGGGATAAAACTTTTTGATGGTGCAGTTCTTTGGGGGCATTCCACACCCCCTTCTCCTATAAATAACCCCTCACTCATTCACTCATGCTCCTATAAGCCCAATAAACTATTCATTTACCAATCCAGATTTGGATGAGATTGTTCCTTTGGTCTGTTAGATTGCCTTGAATAGAGTGAATGGATGCTTATTCATATCTCCCTAGGAAGAGTGGATGCAACAGTGTATAATGGAGCTATTTCATCACTGATCTGTACACTAGCTTCATCTGGGCCCTTGTCTGGATTGCCAAGGCCATAAAATCCTGAATACGGTTGGAATACTGCTGCTGCAGTTGTTTTTGCAAATATAAATTATTTCATGTTCACATCTAGGATTTTGAACATGACTTACAGCTACTGTTAGAGGAAGAGCTGTCAATCAGGAAGTGTTCTAGAGACTATGGACTGGTGGCAGGCTACACACCTGCTCAATAAATTCATCTTCTATTCAATAACATAAAAAAATAGAATTGTGATTCCTCTGTCCTGCTTGGAGACATCTGAGGTCTCCCCGGCGGGATCAAGCCCACCCAGAGACTGCCAGGGTGCTAGGTCCCTTCCTCCACCTATTTCCAGCCTGCCTTCCTTTGCGCCACTCAGAGACACCTGAGGCTTGGGACTGAGAGCTGCTGATCACATCCCTGGTGGGATCCAGCCCACCCAGAGACTGCCAAGGCCCTGGTACCAGTCCCCGCCTCCATCCATGGAAGAGGAGAGACATCAGAGTATTGGACCTGTTTGCACTCATCAGAAGGGAACCTTGGTCCTGTACCCACTGGGAGAGGAAGAGACTCCTTCTACACCCACCAGAAGAAGGGATGGGAAGAAGACAATATAAAAACACGTTCAACATCAGTCTACCTCAAGATCTAGCAATTCCTCTTTTGGGTATATACCCAAAGAATGCACGTTCATACAACAAGGACATATGTTCAACCATATTCATAGCAGCATTGTTTGTAATAGCCAGAACCTGGAGGCAACCTAAATGCTCCTCAACTGAAGAATGTATAGAGAAAATGTGGTACATTTATACAATGAAGTACTACTCAGCGGAAAAAAGCAATGGAATCTTGAAATTCGCAGGAAAATGGATGGAACTAGAAGAAACCATCCTGAGTGAGGTAACCCAGTCACAAAAAGACAAACATGGTATGTACTCACTCATATATGAATTTTAGATGTAGAGCAAAGGATTACCAGCCTACAATCCTCTTCACCAAAGAAACTAGGAACCAAGAAGGACTCTAAGAGAAAAATGCATGGACCCCAGAGAATGGGAAGGGTCAGGATCTCCTGAGCTAATTGGGAGCATGAGGGTAGGGGAAAGGGAGCTGGCAGGAGGAGAGGAGAGAAGGAAATGGAGGACCAAAAATGTTGAGTTGGGGAAGAATAGAGGAGAGCAGGATGAGAGATACCATATCAGAGGGAGCCATTATAGGTCTGGGGAGAGATCTGGCACTAGGGAGATTTCCAGAGATTTACAAGGATGACACGAACTCTAGGGAGATTTCCAGAGATGACACGAACTGACAATCTAGGCAATGGTGGAGAGGATAACCTAAATGACCTTCCCCTATAATGAGACTGATGACTACTTTTTATGCCATCCTAGAGCCCTCATCCAGTGGCTGATGGAAGCAGAGGCAGACACCCACAGATATACACTGAATTGAACTCGGGAACCTAGTTGCAGAGAGGGAGGAATGAAGATCAAAGGGGTTGGTACCAGGCTGGTGAAACCCACAGAATCAGCTGGCCTGAACAAGGGGGAGCACATGGACCCCAGACTGCTGTCTGGGAGGCCAGTACAGGACTGAATCAGACCCCTGAACATGGATATCAAGTAGGGGGCCCCATACTCTAGGGGGTCCCTAGTAGTGGATTAGTATTTCTCCCTGGTTAATAAGGGACTTTGAGAGCCCATCCCACATGAAGGGATGCTCTCTGGGCCTGGACATATGGGGGAGGGCCTAGACCTGGCCCAGGATGATGTTGTAGAATTTGGGGATCCCCCATGGAGGGCCCTACTGTCTATGGGGAGAGGAGGGGAAAAGGGAAAGGGATGGTGGGGGGTTGGGGGGAAAGAAGGGAGAAGGGATCGACATGTGAAGCAAGCTTGTTCCTAATTTGAACTAAAAATAACATGTTCAACAACAGAAAAACCAATATGACACCACCAGAGTCTAAGGACTCTACACCAGCAAGACCAGAACATCCCAACGCAGATGAAGCAGAAGAGAATGACTTTAAAAACAACTTCATGAAAATGATAGAGGGCACCAAAGAGGATATGAGAAAATACCTTAAAGAAATGGATGAAAAAGCAAACCAAAAATTACAAGAAATCAGCAAAGTCTCTTAAGGAAACAGTTCAAGACCTGAAAACTGAAATAGAGACAATAAAGAAAAAATAGAATTTGTAACCATCAGGTTTTCAAATTGGATCATGTATGTCACTGCAACATGTGTGGGATTTCTAAGCATGTCTTGAATGCTCCGTAGGCATCCATGGATGCAATGCTTACGTTTTCTCTGACCTCTACTGCTCAGACCTGTGTTACCTGCTGACTCACCCCTACCCCAAGTCTTTTTTGCTTCTAGGTATTATCTGGTAAGTATGTCTCCCTCAAGCTAAATAGTGGCAACATGACCTGGAGGTGAGTTAGGGAGTGGGGAGGGCTATGAAGGAAGAGGGCCCTTTGTGTTTAGTGTCTACAACTGAGACCCCAAGAATATAGCTGGATGACTCCCAACTCTTGGGTCTTAAAGGCACAGACATCTTTTTCAGGTAGCTGGCCTGACACAAGAATCAGAGCCCTCCATACCCAGAAACTGGATTGTTATGGTGATCAAGGAAATGTGTGCAGTTGATGATAGCCTGAGTGTAGGCATTCAGATAGCTGTGAGGACACGAAAAATGAACCTAGGCTCATCACTCTAGTGTGCCCTGCCTCTCATTTGGGGAATTATACCCAAGCCATCTCCTATAGATGGGGGCTTCCTTTCTTGGGATGGTGCCTTGTGTTCAGCTCTTCACTTCAGACTTCTCACTCACTTTTGTGGCCTCTGGCTTGTAATGAAACCATAGGAGCAGATCAGGAACATGGTCAGACACGGTCAGCATCCACGTGATCCCAGAATCCCCAGTGCACCCAAATCCACAGATGCTCATTTCCCAAATAAAGAATAGCCTGACACTTGCATATAATGTACACCATTCTTCTGTATCCTTTAACTCATCTCTCAGTGGCATAATACCGATTACAAAATCTGTGTCACTTTATACATGTGGCATGAAAAAGATCCAAGTTTGAGGAACTTTCTGGAATTTCTTGTTGAATATGTTCTAGTCATGAGTAGTTGAATTAAAGGATAGTTGAACTTACAAATGGATAGTCCTGTTGAAAATTTGAATTTTAACCTGAAGACTAATCTGGGATATGATTTATTAATCTGGTTTCCTTGGGAAGCCAGGAGAAAAGTGAATGCATTTCAGATTTCTTTTATTAAGTTGGGTAAGCACGAAAGTGGGCAAGTTAAAAAGGTGTTCAGAACTTTCTTATCCACGCCAAAGTCTAACATCTGGATTTGGCCAAATGAGCAAGGCTGGTGTCCCCAGGGTGGTTAAGGTGATTGTAGGACACCTCCCTGCAATGAATTATATTCTGCATCATTCAGATCCCGTCTGCCCCACTGACTCACTTAGACTGACGTAACTCTCTGTCTGTATGTCTGTCACATCCATCCACTCCACATTAAAATATCCATTCAAGAGGCTGAGCTCACTGCCAAATACAGAAGCCATCTAATTCTTGGGGAGGCTATTTAAATGGGAGTTTTAGAATTCCATGTATGGTTTAAATGCTGTAATTTGCCAGAGAAAATTTTCTCAACAAGATAAACACCTCATTTCCTAGCAGTGATTCATGTGATTATATTTGGGGTTGGCATGCAGCTGGCCTGCCTAGGGGTGGCACTTCTGAGCAGGCAGTATCAAGCTGTTGCCCACACTTCCAAAGATGCCTGCTGCCCTCACCGCACCCTTCTTTCCTCAGGCTACCCCAGATCTCAGGGACCTCTGAGACCTGTCAAATATTATTTATTTCCCCCCAGTTCTCCTAACCAGCCTAGGGACAATGGTGTTAAAAGACCACTCCGGATTTTGTTTTTGGGCAGCATTAGCACATGTGTGTAACTCCAAGAACAGCTAGCAACTAACTAGAAACCACTTGTGTAAATGCCAGTGTGCAGAGAATGTCAACAGGCATGAGGGGCAGCTCACACGTTAAGTGGCAGCTGGACTTTGGGAGACATGCCCTGTTCTCCAGCCACCGCGGCAGCTCGTGGGATGGCAGTGGGGATAGGTCCAGCTGAAGAGTCCTGAAAAGAGACAAGAAGATACATGAGTGAGCAGAAGGAAGATTCCATCTAAGAAGGAGAAAGTGGGTCAGTGGACAGTGGCAGCCATGTGTATTACCTCAGTGCCAAAGCCTCAACTTTCCCCAGTCATCATGCTTCACTTCCCTGGCTATTAGTCATATTGTTAACGGCTCATTGGAGGGAAGGTGGTGGCCCAAGACACCTATCCCAGGGCCCTTCTGAGTATTGTATCTAGTGTCAGACAGAGGTCTGACTTTATCTTTAAAACCTGAATTAGTGTGTGGAAAGCGAGTATCTAGACAAAGTATTCCGGAAGCAAATTTAGATGGACATAGACTGGGAACACAGATTTAGGTCTCCCCAAGTACCATGTTACAAGTTTCATGAAGTTTTGATAGTAATAGAAAAAAGTCATGAATTCAGACACTTTGCAAACCTTCTGGTGGAAGCATTAAGTAGGGTATTACAGCACAGTGGAAAAATTTCAGCTGTCATCCCTGAGTGCCCTGATCCCTTGATTGGTGGGGAACAGGGGTTTTGTTAAGTTAATGAATTCCAAAGATTTTTTACCTATTTATTGGGATGTTAGTTCTAACATAGAGGTGGGCAAAGGAAGGCTTTTAACTGGGCTAAAAACAGCTCAAGAGAAACTATAATTAGGTCTGGAAACTGCAACACCCCAAACTCGCCACAGATACTGAAGTTTTAGTCAGTCAGCTTTGGTAGACACACTTCTTTCCAACTGCAAAGTTCATTTAAAAGTGGTATTCAAAGGAGCTGGACATTAACTTCTAGTGACAGTCAAGAGACAGTAGGAGGACAGGATTGACAAGGCATGTCCTGTCCCAGGGACTCTGCATCTGGGGGCTCAAGACTTCAAGGGCCCCTCTACACAGGGTATGGGTTGAGTGATGCTCCAGCCCGTGCCTTCAAGTGTCTGTGTATGCTGGGCTCTCTGGTTAATGTTCTGGAAGGCAAGGAAATTTCAATCCTTAGGGGTCATTGTTGTCTGCAAATCCCTAAACACCAGTCTGTTCCTTCCATTTAGTCATATCTGAAGGCACAGTGGGTTGAATTGTCTCCAGTGGTCTTGAAGCCATTCAAGCCATAATTAAATATATATAATTAAATATGGCTTGAATAATTGAATATGAAGGCATAATGCATTTGGCTAGGAGAGGCAGTGAAGGCAGAATTCCATCTCCTGGGCAAAGGGGAAAGCTTGGCCAACAATATGGCCACTGCTGGCATTTGCCAGGCACTGGGTGGAATGAAGGCTGGTAACACCATATTTGCAGGCATCCACAGCTCCTCTGGGGAAACCAAAGTGCCCCATAGAGCAGGTAACAAGAGGCTTAGGAGGATGGGCTGAGGATACCCAGGAACTCTGGGGCTGACAGAATCTCAGGCCTATTTAGAGGTCTTAGCAGGGCAGGACATTGCCATCTAAGCTCCAGGGAGTGATTAATTGATGGCAGTTTTCCTGGAAACCTGGCCATCAGTTGAAGTTCTTATAACAAATACGTTAGATTTTCCAGCTATGCATTGGTTATAATTGCAATACAGGTTTACTTATAGACATGTCTGCTGTAGTTTGAATGAGAAACAACCCTCATAGATTCATGTGTTTGAATACTTGGTCCCCTGCTGGTGGCACAGTTTGGCAAGGTAGAGGAACCTGCAGAAGGTAGATCCTTGCAAGAGGAAATGGGTCACTGGGGATGAGCCTTGAGGCTTCATTGTCTGACCCCACTTCCTGCTTCTTGAACACAGATGTCAAGAGCTTCCTGCTCTTGCCGTCATGCCTTTCCCACTGCCACCATTTCTGACCCCACCATGAAGAAGTATCCCCAAGGAATGGCAACCCAAAACAAAGCCTTTCTTTAAGTTGCTTTTGTCAGAATATTTTATCACAGCAACAGAGTCCTTCCCCAACTTGGAAGACATGTAGCTCATGCTCAGCAGAGTGTGGCACTGCTATGCAATGACATCCAGAGATTGGGAGCTCCACAGAGTGTACCCGCCAGGTGGCAGCAACACCAGAGTGAGCACTGCCCTCAGGGACAAAAACTAAAGGTGCAGAGGAAGGTTTCTAGGCTTTGTGGTTTTCTGATGTACACTGGGTCCTGCCCATCCACTTCTGAATCAGGTCTTCATCTGTCACCACGGAAACCACAAGAGGAGCAAACCTCCTGGCAGGAAGCTGGAGGCTGTGGCTTTCTGTAGACTTCAAGAGCATGTATGTTTAGAGCATATCTGCAGAGATTACTGAGCCTGATGGGGATCGCCGATAGGCAGCTGGCCTCTTCAGACGTCACTGGCAGAAAGCATATGGGAGGCATGGAAGCCTTACAGAGCTGATTAGAAACTCACAGGCCTGGGTACCACACGGCGTTCCAGGCATCCTGCTAAGCCTCCAGTAACATGTTGCTGTCCAAATGCACCTTCACACCCTAATGACCCATTCTCCTGAGATCTTTTTAACGGGTGTCTGAAGCAGAGCAGTGTTGTAAGGAGTGAGAGTCTGGTTTGAAATACATCTGAGTGGGACTGTAGGGCAAAGATGGTCTAGTTCTCCCGCTCCCGGGGCTTCCACCTAACTGTGGGCAACCTCTCTGCCTTTCTTTATATGTAAATGTAGGATGTACACACACTGACACACACACACAGATACACGCACGAGTGTTGCTGGAAACCAAGGCCTTGTACAGGCTAGGCAACCACCTAACACTGAGTATAAGCCCAGCTCTCTTCTTACTTATTTGAGACGGTATCTAAGTAAGTTGCCCAGGATGGCCTTGAATTCACTCTGTAGCCCAAGCAGGTGTTGAACTTGAGATCCCCCTGAGTAGGTGGAATTACATGCATGTGCCACAAGGTCTTGCCTCTGGCTAGACTTTTAACAATCTAATTTTAAACAGGGCAATGATTAAAAACAAGAAAGTCTTAGGGCCTATGGTTGCCTTGAGTGAAAATTGGGATTCCATATCCACAAATGAGAGAACATGTGACATTTGTCTTTCTGACTGGGTTAACTTGCTCAGTATATTTTTCAGTTCCAGCCATTAACCTGCAATTTCATCTTTCTTCACAGTTGGATAGTATTCCACTGCATATGTATTATATTTTTATCAGGTGAAAGATACATTGTTTCTATTTCCTGGATATTGTGAATAGAATGGCAGAGGACATGACTGAGCAGGTTTTTCTGTGTGATGTTAAGTTCTTTGGATACATGAGGAGGAGTGGTAGAGTTGGACTGTACGGTACATCTAGCTTTAGTTTTCTGAGAGCTTCTACACTGATTTCCATAGTGGCTTCACCAGTTTGCAGTCTACAAACAGTGACTCCTTTCCTCATACCCTCATCAGAAATTGTCAGTTGTTTTCTTGATCTTAGCCAGTTTGACTGGGGGAAGACGAAATCTCAAAGTACTTTTAACTTGGACTTCCTGATTGCTAAGGATGTCAAGCACTTGAAATATTTCTCAGTCATTTTAATTTTTCCCTTTGAGACTCTGTTCAGACTTATAGCCCATTATTTTGACTGAGTCATTTTAGTCTGATTATTTTTTCAAGTTTGTAAATTCTGGATATTCAGAATCTTCTATTGCATGGATAACCAGCAAAAGATTCACCTCCACTCTGTGGCCTTCCTCTATACTCAAATCTTTCCTTTGCTATATAGAAACTTTTGACTCAGTTCCTATTTGTCAACTGTTGGCCTGAATTCAGAGTGGATGGGATTCTATCCAGAAAGTCCTTTGCTGAGCATGTATCTTGTAGGATACTACTCATCTCTTCTTCCAGCAGTTTCCATGCTCCTGGTTTCACACTGAGGTCTTCGATCCATTTGGGGTTGATTTTCATGCAGGGTGACAGATATGGGCTTTCTATTTTTGTGAAGAATGTCAGAGATTTTTTTTTTTAATATTGGGATCACACTGAATCTGTAAATTACTTCTGATAGTATAGTCATTTTCGAAATGTTAATTCTACTCATTCACAGCATGGGAATCTTAGCTCAAAGTATACAGCCTGAAGAATCCACAGAAGCCAGTAGAGTGGAAAGGGACTGTTAGTCACGTGGCGTAGTAGGACACAGGAGCTGTGAACTGGGAGAGGAGGGACTACAGGGACCTTGCCTGGGGATCAGGGAGGATGGTAATAGAGAGGGAGAGGAAGCAAGCAGAATAATTAACACTAATGGGAAGACACAAGGAAACATTTTTATAGCTTTCTTAAATGGAGTTATGTCATATGGGGTGATAATGCTCCCCCCCCCAAATGCCACAGACTAACAAAACCTCCCTCCCTTCAATTTGTTGATCATTGGAATCCAAGAGACTCCCAAAACAATAAAGGTCATTGCCATTGCCCTTGGTGGCCTCCTAGATCTTGAAGCTGAGATCCTATTGCTTCAGACACCACACCATTTGGATATAGCGCTGGAGGAACCACGTGTGGCAAGTGACCTGGAAGGCTCCTCCCTGAGGATTAGCTTTCATATTATTGGAAGGTGCTATGCAAGCTGCCATAGGAAAAAAAAGCAATCAGTAGTCCTGCTCAGCTGTAAAACTTATGAACCACGACAATGACCAGTACAGCAAGATACCCCTAGTGGTGCAATCGTGGTACTTTTATCTTGGGAGGTAACCAAATAGCTGTCTAATTGGACTTAAGGGTTGCACAGTAGGAGGAGATCCATGTCTGGTACTATAAGCCTAGCCAACTACCCACTGCAGGTGAGGTCACTGGTCCTAGAGGAGAATATACTGCTGCCATTAAAAAATTAATATAGTTTCTAATTGTCTTCCAAATATTTATCCCTATGTCCACAGGCAAGTACAGTTCTCACCCCATATTCAAAGAAGCCCCCCCCTTTTTTTTTACGAGACAGGGTTCCTCTGTGGCTTTGGAGGCTGTCCTGGAACTAGCTCTGTAGACCAGGCTGGTCTCAAACTCACAGAGATCCACCTGCCTCTGTCTCCCGAGTGCTGG